GTGCGCCGCGGGGTTGTTCTGCAGGCCTGAAACGCTGAGGAGCACGGCGGGGCTTGCAGAGCTCTGGCTGAACTTCCCCTAGAACTTCTTGTGAAGTTCTGCAGGTGCCGTTTGGCTTTGCCAGGAGTGTATGTGCCCTGTCCTTGGAGGCCGAAAGATCTTCGAACGGTGGCTCTGGTATAACTCGGGGCTGCTCGCCTCTTCCCGGGTGGAACGCTGTTCACAGCAGTGGGAGGCAAGAAGCCCACCCGGGAATGATCGGGGTGTTGTGGAAAGGTCCGAGTGCCGGCTGGCTGCTGGCGTTGTGTGGGGTTATGTAAACGTGCAGTGAAGTACGCGGTTCAAAAACTGGGAAGCTAATGTGACACATCATGGATCAGTAATAAAAGGTGGGAAAGCCTGGATCGCCTAGTAGCAGTGCTTTAGGACTTGTGCGACAGGTACCTCTGTGAGAGGCGTAATTAATGCAGAACTGGTAGGACGTTAAAAAACGGCCCGTGACTACTGTTCAGAGGTGCACTTTTCCCTGAAAAGTTTTTGAAGCTTGGCTCTCTAGCACCGTTTCAAAACCAGCATAAATGCTTTTGAGATATCCTTTCTGGATAATGGGTCATATTCATATGCTGGAATGGGACAGCTTTTATTATCAAAACAGTAGTGCATAATATATGAGGGCAGAACGTCCTCCTAAATATGCCCATGTTTTGGAACCTTACATTGAGCTTGTTGCTTGGGCGTGCAGTGAAATGTTTTCTTTATTTAACCAAGATCCACAAATTATCACTGCTTGTCGTAGTCAAAAATGTAATAAAACTTGGGAAAAAGAGTTGTCTTGCACCTTCAAAAGAAGTTCTGAAAGCTTGTGAAGCAACATTTTATACAGACTTAATGCACGTCCTGGTTTTATAAATCTGTCATTTTAGTAAATCTGAAGATTTTTCTTTCTAGGAAGTACTGTGAAAAGTGTTTCTAATAGCATGCAGAGAAGCGTTACCAGCCTGAGAACTTCTTTTTTGGAATGTTCTTTCTGTTTTGTTATTTTATGTTTAGGTGTTGATCAGTGTATCCAGAAATTTCTGGATGTTGCAAGACAAACTGAATGCTTTTTTCTACAAAAAAGACTGCAGTTATCAGTCCAGAAACCAGAGCAAGTAATTAAAGAGGTATGTTTAAATTACCTGCATTGTGCTAGATCACATAAACTATGTATCAGTATAGTTAATCATCTCGTTAATTTCGGATTTCTTAACATGATGCTGTATCTTAAGTTGGTAGAACTTGACTGTTAACATAGCTCTCACCATGAACCTGGAGAAGCTGGATGCCTGCTGCTCTGAGGAGTATTGGAACACTCCTCAGAGTATGAAGCTAACACAAGATGATAGCTTCATTTGAAGAAACAAACTAGTTACTCAAATTTTGCTGGAAGTAATGATCTCTGAAATATGTGACCTAGGGGAACGGAACCAGCACATTCACAGTGTTTTCCCTCTGTTTCATTGGGCGCTTTTTCATTATTACAATCCCTATCAGATCAGCTCGAAAACTCAAGCTAAAAAAATTACATGCTTTTTATGTGAGGTGGTTATTCTTAAGAATACTGTCCATTTACTAATACACTTTTTTTTCATGCATAGGATGTTTCAGAATTAAGAAATGAATTGCAGAGAAAAGAAGCATTAATTCAGAAGCATTTGGGTAAACTGCGACACTGGCAACAGGTCCTGGAAGATACCAGTGTACAGCACAAAAAGCCTGCAGAATTGCCTCAAGGTCCATTCGCTTACCTAGAACAAGCATCTGCTAATATTCCTGCTCCAATGAAGCAAACATGATCTTTGATTTTATGTATCTGAGTAGTTTCAACAATGCAAAGCAGTCATGTTCTTTTTACTTTGTATACCTTTTGTATAATGTAATTTGTGCTATAAATATAAATAGTTAAGACAATTAAGTGCAATCAGTTTTGTTTTTTTGTTTTGTTTTTTCCAAAAACATGGATTGGTTTTATATTTCAATGGAAAATACACAGTTGTTATTCAGGATGCTTTCTGGTAGAAGTGTGTTTCCCAGAATGCATCCTGTTCCTTCTAGAAAGGGTGGCCCTAGCTTTCCCCTAACTGTATCTTTGCTGGTATGATGAAAATACTTGTAAAGATTACTGTTTGGTTTTACTGGAAGATTTAAATGTTTTGTGATCCAGTAATTATCTGTGAGTATCACTGTAGAAGCACCCTTAGAGTTGTCTGTATCTAGGTGAGATCAGAAGTGTACTTTTTTTGAAGTGAATCGTCCATCTCTGCTGGACTTCTACTGACCTCACCTCATGAAAGTGTCTCAGGATATACAAACTTGATTCTTACAGGATGCAATGAAACTGCAAAGTGCATAGCTCTGGAGGGGGTATGTAATGCAGGCCCAATGTTACTGGTGTTCTGTCTGCCAGGCTAGTGCAGAGGTGGTCCAAAATACCTACCCGCAAAATAAAGACCATTCATGGTGGATGTTGGGTCATCAGCACTGTACAGCCTACAGAATTAGCTTCTACTGGGGTGTGCTAGTTAGTAATCTCAGTGTAGCCAAAAGAAAAGATTTCAGAGGTAGAGACAGCAAAGGAGTCCTGTCTCTGTATTACCAGGCAGCAATCTTCATCATATAGCCAGGAAAGCCACTTTGTAGGGACACCACTTTGGGGACAGTTAATTCATTAGAATATTGTAACCCTGGAAATTAGAATTAGTAATTGTGTATTGAACTTCGTAGTGTGCTTCAAAAGGTTCTGAGGCAAAGTGGATGAAAACTAATGAAAAACGTAGCCCTACACGTTTCCGATCTTCTCAAAATGCCAAGGCATTCCTCAGTGTTACTGTGAACCATTTTATCCCCTTCTTGATCGGATGTATAAAAAGTGTGTCTTTTTGCCAAATCTGATGTGAAAGTCTCCTTCCAAAACCGAGCAGTTAATTTTGGAAAAAATACTGAACGTCTGGGATGAAAGTATTGGCCTGTAGAAGCGTTCTGCCCCTTCTGACACCTTTTCAGCTTGGGTGAGGTGCAGCGGCTGTTCTGTAGTTAAGTGCTCGCATCTGTTGGTACAGTTCTTGGTGGCTGTGTGATACACGAAGAGGTTAGGCTGGAGGTTCGCTACGCCTCTTCGCACACGTAAAACGTGTTACGTAGCTGGACCCTGCTGGTTGAAATTAAATGGAGATTCGAATCACACAGCTCTTGAGGATGAACTACCCTATCTTAAACGCTCGGCTGCTTTCCTGTTTGTTGATGAATTACCTGAGGGCTAATTTCTTCATGGGTGTCTTTCCTCCCATCAATGAGTTAGCTGTCGTGATCTGGTAAATGTAGTTGTTTACACACTTTGCATTTTGGTGGGCATAAGAAGAACACTGAGATAAAACGTACAAGTATGTAGTTCCCATAAATCTGGCACTCAGTGTAGTCTGACTCACACTTCAGCATAACATACCACTATTTTGCAAAACATGGAAATGGATGATTTACAAGCAAGTTTTAATGTTCATACTTAACGCATTATCCTAATTTATCAGGCTGATTGTTACATGTATTGAAGTGCAACGGGAGAATTATATTGCAATGCTAACTATACAAAACAGTTAAGTAAACTAGAAAGTATTTCTAAACCAGCCTGCTATAAACATGCTATCTTTGGAGGTATACCGCATGCTGTACAGCTTAAAACCAGTTTAACCAAAACCTATTAAAAATGTAAAAAATTACATTACTATATGCAGAAATAGTTTTAAACAGCTGATGAAGCAAATGTATAAACCTACAGAAATCACCCACAGAAAGTAAGGTCTTTTTTCAGCTGGAGCCAGATTGACAGGATGTATCAGAGACCAAATCCCATATTTAATGTAATTGTGGAGTGGTACAGTCTCTTGATTAAAAAGTCTTTTCACATAACAGTACCCAGAATTTTGCTTTTTCTTAATTTTTTACAGAAGTTGTTAAAAAAATATTATTTTTTCTGAAATCCGTGCCTATAACTCTCACAGTTATTATATGTAAGAGAGTGCAGTTGTTCCTAATTATTTACTTGGAAATTACTTTTTTCTCTAAATCATATCTTGGATTATCATTCCCTAAAAGAAAACAGGAACAGCTTTTCTAATCATTCTGAGAAGTATGGAAATAGTTTACTTTAGAATGAAAAATACTTAGTAAACCATTCTTGATGCTGAGGGTCTTGGGTTTGGTCATCTTTGGTTCGTGGCGATTCATTGCCTTGTGTCCTGTGCAAACAAATAAGCATTAGCATCACTTTCTTACAATCTTATCAATATTTAATACTTTTTTTTCCTGGAAAAACTCATGGTACTATGAATGGATCTGTGCTCACATGAACTGGATGAGGCCAAAAGGTGCCAGCTACAATTTCTGGAGCGATCTGCTCCAGCTACCTGCACTAGCCAGGTAACTGGGCTAACAGCACTGGTTGTAACACAGAGGAAAGTGTGAAGGACAGCTAAACAGCAATGGAGAAATCTTTCAACATAATTCTTAATTTGGCATCTCAAAAAATAAAATAAAGGATGCTTCAAGAATATGAAGTCTTGAAAATCAGAAAATGGTAGCTGCAATTCACTTGTAAAAGTATGAACTACAACTTATGCGTTAAAAATGTTGGGTAAAAGTTTTATTTGGAACTGAAAGATTTATCCGAATATTAACTGGCTTTTATAATCAATCTTATTACATGGTCCCTGATTTTTCAGCATTCAGAATGCTTTTTTAACATTTATATTAATTTCCATTCGCTTATAGTAGCAAATATGTCTTCACTTATTGATTGATTGGATTGATTGATTTGAAAGAGTATGTAAGTAGCAGCCAAGCTACCCTCGGTCTCCCTGTACGTTTCCCTTTAAAATACGGTCTGATTTGCCTTGGCAGTCATCTGGCATGACACAGAATGCTTTTATCTTTAAGATGTGGGAATTGCCAAACTGGATCCAAGCCTGTGTCTGGGATTGTTGTCTTTGGCAGCAGTCAGCACCATCTGCCTTCAAGGAAAGAACGCTCTAGCACACGATTTACAGAGTAACTAATCTCCACTGGACGTAGGTAAGAAGGCTGGCTTTTGTCCTGAAGTATAGTGGTAGGGTCGTTTTTTTTAATATTTATCATTATAACTGTATAATATTAACTAGATAAATGTTTTAACTATTTTTTGAAGAGATATTTCAGTCATGTTGATAAAACACTAAACATTGCTTAAATAATAACTCATAAATTTGAAGAAAAATTCAAGCTTTTCAGAGAAGAAACATCAAAGAAATTTTTAGTTAAGTATCTGCTAATCAATTTTTAATTCTCTAAACCCTTTGCCAAATGATTAGCCTAAATTCATTCAAATATCTCCTAAAATAAAAATATGCCATCTACATCTACCAAGTGCAAAGTGAGGAAACAAAATTGAGAACGAAAACACATTCTTAACCACTGAAACATGCCCGAAGTTTTAAACAGCCAAGTTCACTATTGGCTACATTCTTAGTTAAATACTTCCAACTCCTCTCTTTTTTTTGGAGGGTTTGCAATCAGAAGCTCCACTGGGCAGTGACTGTAGCCTACTTCTGCAGTAAAGTTCTGGGCCTATCTGCAGACAAACGAATGCATGGAGTTCACTGCACGACAGGAACCTTACGTCATTGTTTATTTCCAGATATCTAATGTGTTGAAATGCCTACAAGATTCTGAATACAAATTCATTTATCATCTTGCAAGTCACTGCAAAATGGATAAATACCTGGTGGCAGCGCTGCTGTCGGAGGACTGTGCTGATGGAGATCTCACACTGAGGCAGCCAGGACTCCGGTCTAAGCTTGTAGATTTTGTTATTTGAGGAGCACTTCTTTTTGATCTCAAGTCACAGCTCAAAAAGCTCTTTGCATAGGAAGCTAAATTCGGAACACTGACAACGCGACTGGGCGCTTCAGCTGTTTTCTTCTGCTGCTTTTTATTGTAACAGAAAACTTCATTACACACTTTTGTTTTACACTTTATGCTATAAAACCTCAGCAATACCTCATTCCTAGATATCTTGAGAGGAGCACTCAAAAATCAAGATTCCTATCTTTTTCTATAGGCATTTAAAATAAATTCTGCACCAACTCGATCTCTCTTCTCTCCATGACTATTTATAGACAGCATCGTACAGAGGGGCTGAGACGACAAAGAACAAATCCTGAGCAGCCCAAACACAATTCATAATTTTCCTTGATGCATGCAATATCCCAAACAGCAACTCCCAAATTTGCAGGCAGCTCCTAAATCTGCAAGTAATGGCTGTACTTAATCCCAGTGTAAGACTGATGTCTTTTGGAGTTCTAGTGTTTTATATTTGCTTAAACACCTGTGTCTATGTGCATATATACTTATACTAAATTTATATTAGGTTGACTGTAGGTCGGCTTACTGGAAAGAAATCTACTGAATAACATTACCATAAAAAATTAATAGGACCTTTATTGTCCTTATCATCTCTATGATTCAAATAGCAATAAACCATCACAGTTTGCCATTTTAATTGCATTGCCCATCTTACCTTCATGGAAGGAGACAAACATACTGTATTAGGGTTGAAAGAAAATGATCGATTCCTGTAAGATTCAGTGTTGGCTAAAAGTGAATGCTGAAATTTTCTTCCTTCCTGAGGGGAAAGACAATTATGTATATAGGAGCAATTTGTGAAACACTGATTAAATCCTTCTAACAGATTCCAATATATATAAAAGGAAATCTTACCGCCAGCTGCTTGATAATCTCTTCTCTCTCACTTAATTTGTCTTGCAGACAGCTTATAAGGTGTGTATCTTCTGATCTGGACTCCCTCTTTCTTGTCTTTTCTTCTAATTCTTTAAGTCTGTACCAAAGAAAATGCAGACCAGGAAAAACTTCCTCAAACCAGGTTCAAGAGATACCTGGGCTGTACTCTGCCCTAAATTCCGAGCTTAAAACACAGGAACATATTCAGGCCTTTCTGATAAAAAAACATTTTTTAAAATGAGCATCTGAACATGGAATACATCTAAGTATAGAATGTTGTGGAGTTCCAAAATAAATCACTGCCAGGGTTAACTCACAACACCTGTCCAGTGCAAAATCCAGCCCTTGGTGTAAAATACTAACAAGCTTGCACATCACATTGCTAGTTTAGTTTCCTAAAGAAAAAAAATCTGTGTCATACTATCTATGCATGTTTGTATTCATCTATTTGTTCTCTGTTCTGACCCAATAACTTTAGAATCCACAGGCTAATTCCAACCATATTTGATAGGGGCCTCAGAAATACTCAGCATACATCTGCTTGACCCATGAGAAAACAAGTCATTATTTCATCAGCCAAGTTCATGAATTTTGCTGCTTGAGAAACTGAGTGCTATGAAGTTCACCTGCCATACTGAGTAATGTATTACAGAATACCAACCACCATTTTGTGTTTGTTTTGTTTTGGGGTTTTTTGTGAGGGTAAACATTTTTGAGAGCCTCTCCTCAATCTTATGCTTTTAGTTTAGTGTATCTCAGAGTTTAGATAAAAAGATAAATTTTATCATCTGAATGGTTTGAGACCTGCTTACATGCAAGTAGTTCTCTTTTCTGGACCCATGCTGCACAGTTAGGGTAAGAGAAAAAGACAAGGCATACATACAATCACAGAGATTACTTCTGAGAGGCCTCTCCTATACAGTCTGAAGCACCACAGAACTACTTAACTCCACAGAGGTCTGTAAAGTGCATTTATTTACACCAGTTGCTGGTGGCTGTCCTGGAAAATTTGCAAGGGAGTGAGAATGAGCAAGAGCTTGACTTCAAGGATGCTGCTCTGCTGAACAAAATTAAATACAAGATCATGAATCGAGGCCTCTGGTGTCATCTCTGACAAAGATGATTTTACACTTCATAACATTGCAAGATGCTAAGTGCAGGTTTTAATTTAGCATTGCAAGATGCTAAGATGCAGGTTTTAATTTAGCATTGCAAAACTTCATGTATAGTGCTTTAATTAAACAATATTCCGAGTTTATTGCAATCTATCTGGGTCTTTTTGTGTTTGCAAAGGAAATACCTATACACTTCTATTTCATTGCTTATAGTATAACTCATTGCCAGTATGAGCTAGAGTTTGTTTAAATGACTTAGTCTCTAAGGAGAAAATCTTTGCTTGGAGATGTGCCTGAGTGCTGCTGAAATCAGATAATATGTTTTCCATTTCCTTCTGCTGATCTTGTTTCAGTATGTCCAGTTCTTTTTTATGCTTGATATTGAGGTCTTCTACCAGTAGCCTTTCCTTGGTATTAAAATATGTTGAATTCTCATGTTTCAATACTAGTTTATTATAATTGATCAAAGCACACAGGGTTGAGGTCTTTTATTGACTACAAAGGCAGTTAACTGGGCGCAGCTCTGGGCTTCTGCTTACTCATTTGGCTTTGACACTTCAGTTGCAGTTTGCAGCAGAACCACGCTAACTCTGAGCAAGAGGAAAATTATTTGGAGAAGTACTCGACCTCAGCCTTCAGGAAATGGAAGGTCTATTCCATGTAAGTATGCTATTGATATTCTGTCTATGGTTAGTTTGTACATCAATCTTAGTGGTCAAACAACAATAAAGTACCACAGGAACTTACTTGTATTAAGCAAAATTATTTTGAAATCTCTGGGATTTTAACATGAGGCTCTGATGCTATTATTTCATCACATCATGGCACCAGTGACATTTAATACTCCCTACCACCATTCTAAAAATATTTTTTTTAAAAAGCGAAGATAAGAAATGTTGTAACAATACCTTTAACTACATTTGTCTTTAACAGACATTTTGAAAGCTACTGCTATTTGATTAACACCATCAATTGAAAACTAAAAAATGCCTAACGTTTTTTCAAGCCTAGCCATAACATTGCTTTCTGATACCAATCCCCAAATCAATAGACATCTATTGAAGAATCATTGTTACCTTATTGCCTTTCGTTTGCTAACGTTTTATTAAATCTTGGAGAAAGTTTTTAATTAACTCAGTGTTCTGTTTAAGCCCATGTTCTGTTGTTTACTGATTAAAACAGAAATGTCAAACTCAGCAGATTAACAACTGTAATTTTCACAAAACATATTCAGTTTACCTTTTTTTTTTTTCATTTTAATGTATTTCTAAGCGCCTTTCACTTGTTTCTGAAATGCTTCAGGAAAGGCCAAAAGGTCCATGAAAGGTTTCTGCCCTTGAAATTAGAGCAGAGCTATGAGAGTGATTGAATTGGCACTTGGCACAAAATAAGAAGCAGAAGAATAGGAGTGAAAATGAGAGCAGAATCCCTGAAATGGGTCTTCAGGGGCAGAACAAAAGCTGTCCTTCAGACTAGCCATTTTAAGACTTGTCCTCTCTTCCCATAAAAAAACCTTTATCTGCTCTCATCCTAATCTTTGCAAAAGGTTTCTGTACTGGAGGTGAAATTCACACAATTCAAGAGAATGGAAATGGAAATGATTACTTCAAGCAGATTACTGGTTTCACTTACTTGGCAACAGTAGGAATAGTGATTTTAAATAATCAGTTATAAAAATTTGGCACATGCAAATCAGTTTTCAAATCAGAAACAACCTGGTGTAGTGGAGAGTGTCCTTGCCCAAGGCAGGGGGGTTGGAACTAAATGATCTTTAAGGTCTCTTCCAACCCTATCCATTCTATGATTCTATGATATAGCATAAGACAAGGTCACTGTTGTTACAGTAACAGTAAAAAAAGCAGTTACTTATATTCACTCACCAATTTAACTATTCCCCTATACAAATTATTGGTCCTGCAAAAGCAAAACAAGAGCTGCAATTTAATGTTCCAGATCTTCCATGGTTTAATTTCAGAGCAGCCCGTATCAGGTTTGAACCATTTGAGCTCTTGGTTCTACCTCCCGTTATTTGAAGGATTTCTCCTTACACAATTTCCATTAATGCTTCATTCTCAAATGCTTACTGTAGTAGAGCTACACCATTTATCCCCTGTAAAGGTTATCCTCCAACCCAGCAGCTTTAGCATTTGAGGCCTTTTAGACCTCATCACTGACATGTGAATAATTCTTCTCTTCATGAACAGAAGGTCTAAATTCCTTCAAGGCAGCTGGAGGGCAGTAATGAAACTCTCTGGTCTGCAATTCTTGCTGTTGATCTTGCTTCAAAAGCTTAGAATGAAAGTCACTTTCAAGTTAACTCTCCAAAGAGTGCTAAGGGAAAAAAAAAGTTTCTTTCCATTCTTTAAATATCTACTGACTGGTAGACAGCAATGCAATTACTCTGGCCACTCTGACAGTCTGCTGAAAAACCTTGTATCCCTTGAGTGCTTTTCTCTAGACTATACAGTATATAATTTTAAAGATTCCTTTAAGGGTATACTCTTCAGAAATCCTTTTATATATACAGCTTGAGTAGTTAGATGCATGCATTCTACACCAGTGCAGAAAATAATTGAAAGGTACCCACGCACCAGATCCCTCAATCGCTCTGCAAAGAGAATATGTTAAGTATGATCATCCAGAAATTTCAAAGGATTCAACAGCCATACAAATGCACTGAACAGTGAACCCCAGTCTCATCTCCCATGTAAAAGGTAAGTCCTGCGCTTTTTCTGTATGCGAATGGAAAGGCTGCTACTACTGCAATCCAACACGTGCTCTGAGCCTGTGGCTACACTAGAGGATGCAGTCCACCTTCTGCAAAGGCAGCCAAGACCACAAGTCAGCTTGCCCTTCCTGTGCTCTGATGGCATATTACAGCTCCAGGCTTCCATCAGCCCAGAGGCACTGTTGGTGCCCGCTGTCACTGCCCTTACTCCCTGCCAAAGCAAAGTCTTACGGAGTGCATACGGCATTCTCAAGTGTCTCCTTTACAACCCATTGGTTTCAGCTAGAGAGTATGTATGAAAAACAGACTCAGATTTATTCTCAGAGGCTTCTACATTCTTTTAATAGCTCTTGGGTGAGTTTGGGATTTGTTCATGTTTTCCACTGCCTTTCAAAAGCTGATGTTAGGCAGATTTTCTCAGGTCACTCCTGTGAGGCTATGCTGGACATAGTTCTCTATGACATATAATGAACAATTAGTTCAAATGCTTTTGTTATGAATGGACAGAAATGAAACGAACTACTGCTTTTACAAAACTCCTAACCTCTAAAATTAGTAGTTTAGAAAGGAGAGATTCTGACACTCATCACATTTAGAACACCTCTGATGCTGGCATTATTATCAGATCTCTAGATAGCACGGTGAAGTGTGAATTTAAGGCAAACCTCCTGTGCTGTTTTTCCCTGTCCTGAAGCTGTGCAGCTTCTTGCTTCTGCGATTCCAACTCAGCACTGAGTAGCTCCATTGTATCCTTCAAAAGTAAATTCTCTTTCTTGAGTTCGGAAATTTCACTCTGACATTTTTCCAGTTCATCATGAAGAGATCTGATCTGGCTCTGGCTACTTCCTTCCTAAGGAAAAGGCCACATTTAGTTATTCACAGCCTCTTATTATTTAACATGAAGATCTCACTAGAATTGTGTGCATTGAATTTTTTCAAGCTGATTTTTCAATTATATGTGCAATTCTATGTGCAAGACAAAATCTGTGATCAAAACTTCCTGAAGCTATTTTATAGCCTCCATAGAATTTATTTTATTGTAACATTAATTCATTTACTTGTGTTGTAGATCCTGCTCTTTAAATAGAAAAAAAAAGCGTGCCCATAGGGAAAAGGAAATAAACAATGCTAACATTTTAAAGTGTGATACAAGGGAAGGAAACCCATTGCATTTCTCTAAGAGACTCTGTACACTTTTATTATCTCTCAAGAGAGAAATCTGATACTATTGCTTTTGGAAAACAAAACATGTCAATGAAGTAGGAACTGGATTCTTGCCTGATGCTTCTTCAGTGTCCTCACACTCCTCAGCTCCGTTTGGAGTTCATCTATTTGTTTCTTGAGATTGGTGCACAGTGTTTGTTGCTCAGAGAGTTCCATCCTTAGAGATCCTAGCAACAATCAGACAGACCATTATTAAGGCAGCCAGAGGCCTGCTGGATGGGGAAGGTAGATACAGACAATGTAGATGAAAACATTAATATATTACATTTTGCTTTGTTCTTCAGCTCCTTCACCATTAAGTATAATGGCTTCCTATTACTAGAGAAGTAACTCAGCTGAGCAATAGTATGAAGATACAGAGCTACAATAGCAATGATTCAACATCAGAATCAGGGAGGTAATTCTGTGGCAGTTGTTTTGAAGATTAAATCACTACAATCACTTCTTCTAACCTTGAACTTTCCTGGAGACCCCTTGAGCTTCTCTGGTAAGTCCACTAGTGTTTTATAGAGGGGCCATAAGGCAGATTGAGGAGAGCTCTGGTTGTGTTACGAAAAGTACAACACTTACATAAGCTAATCTGTCATATGCTGCAACTTTTCTGTGTATTGGGTACAAATTTCAGGGTGGATCAAATAAAAGGAGAAAGAAGTTTTTATCTATTGTTTCTCTACAATTTTTCTTGAAGAATAACAGAATTCAGCTATTGAACATATAAATGTTAGAGAGCAACAAATCTTTCTAGCAAATTTGAATTGCTGAAAAAAAAAAAAAACAAGAAAAGAATCCAGTTTGTACTTAAAGTACTTTCAAATTATTCTTTCTTTAATTAAAAAAAACTTTAATAGATGAGCTTTAATAACCTGAGTGCAAACCTGGAGATATCAGAGGTCCTCCTAATGCAGTGTTCTGTTTATTTCTGAATGGTTTAGGGAACTTTCTAAACTGACGAAACAATACTTATGGAGCAACTAATCACCACTGCTGAACTCAACAGAACAGACTTGAACCACGTATAATTCTTCACATCATAGAAAAAAAGAGGAAAGTCGTATACACTAACTACAATATTTCAATTTAATATAGCTGATAATGCATACTTGAATGTTATACACCAGAGTACTCTCCCAGCAATGTTCTGCTGCTGACAGTCGAGAGGTAGGTTAACAAAGAATATTGTCTGTATTGCTGAAATTGCAGGGTATGGAAAAGGAGATTCACAAAGATCTGAGTTCCCAGAAGATGGGAGAGAAAATGAATGGGAGGAAAGTCAGTGCTTCTCAGCATATAATCAAGCAGCAGGAGTTGTGCATGACATGAGACATTATACCTAGCAACAGAGTTTGCTGCTTCTGTATCTGTTCGAGTTCATCATGTAATTCTTTCTTTGCTTTCTCTTCCAAGGTTTGTATTTCCAGCCTATGAGACTGATGTTGGATCTTTAAAGTCTCATTAAATTCCTTTTTCAAACGTTCTTCTGCCTCCTGTAAGCAAAAGCCCCCCCGCAAAATAAAGTGGTTAGAACCTATTTATCACCTTGGTTTTTTACTTGTAATGCCAGGATGCATCTGATCTTTCATTGTAGAACTTTTATTTTCATCCCCACTTTACATGACACTTCATCCACACAAGAATAAAAATGAGCTGAAGTTAAAAAAATAACACTTAATAGGTACAACAGAAATTACCAAGACATCGTCTATTAGATTTGTTGTACATCATGAAAAAACACTGACAACCTTGCACTATTTTGACATTAGAAACATGTTTTATCATTCAACACACAAAGCCTCCCAGATTTGACCTGTATGACATTACTTATTACAGTGTCAGACAAAGGTTTCTATCTTTCCTTGTATTGTCCTTGGCTAAAACTTCCACTATTGTTAGAAGTGCTGCCGATATATCATAAATGATGGAGTAGTTGCTCTTTAGTGGCTCCGAAAGCAAACTCCTCAGTTTCATATTTACCAGCCTTGAGCTTGGTTTTGTTAAAGCTAGGATTTTATTCTGAATATATAAACAATATATTAATTCTTCTTAGGGTGATTTTACTATGTATGTTTTGTAAGGAGGTTTTCTCTAAGGTGTTTGATATCAACAGGAACATCTGAACTGCATGCCACAATCACATGTAGATTTTTTAAGTTCATCTTTTTTTCTCAAACAGCAACATTCTTTAGAACCTCGATATGCTGCATTAACATTTTGTCACTGAAATAAATCCACTTGAACCTTTAAAAGCTTTGGTTATTCACTTAGAGAATTGATTTCTTGAAGGTATGCAAGGCAATACATATCATTAAACATGTCTACTATACTTCTTTTTAAAGTATTTATGTATAAATTAATAATGGATGAAAAAGAATAAAACTGAGTCCTGTTAATAATACACTTAGGAATTCCCTTGTATTTCTGAAGCAAGAGCACAGCTAGAGGAGCTTGTATTCATTGCAGCCTAACTGTAGACAGTAGGCTATGTTATTTTATGAAACTATTTCATTCATGCTGTGGAATGAATAAAAAAAAACAATCCAAAGATGATGAGGTTTCAAAATCACAAAATAATTCATCATGTGCTACAATGGCAACCCGTCATTAAGTTAACTGGAGATAACTGAGTTTTGATAATCGGCTCTAGCTAAGATGGTTTATCCCACAAATATGATTTTTTTTACAGTAGTATGTCATAAACTGACCTTGAGTTCCTGATTTTTGCTTTTCTCCAACATTTTTAAGACCTTTTGATGTGATGCCTCCAACTGCAGTTTAACATTCTGGTTTTCTTTAATGGTATTTTGAAGATCCTGCAGAAGCTTCTCTTTTTCTTTGTTGGACTGTAGATTATGTTTCCTCAGTGACTCCTTGAAATTATTTGCTTGCTGGTCTAATATTTGTTTCAGCTGAGCCACCTTCCAGAAAAGCAAATCAGCAGGACAGGATTAATGGATGCATTCACAATGGAGAGGAATTATGTGGATCTAAGTACATTTTATGAACCTGTGTTGCTCTATGAAAAATACCAAGATGCTTGTTTGAGCAAGGAGCCCTTTTTTCAGTGAAGAATGACAATCCTTTTGCATAAACTGTCTGTTGCCCATCAAGTACCTTTCTTAAATTATTTATTTTCAAATTGTCTCCATCTCATATGTACAATCCACAGTTCAATTTGCACAATAATTATGGCACAAACCAGGAGGGAGGCCTAAGGCTGTGCTTATTGTCATCTGGGATATGTAACATTGCAAAGTCTATTTATATAAAGCAGTAGATAAGAACCAATGGAAACAAGAATTCTGCACATCATGCTTCAGATTTGTTTTATTTTCTCCCCTCTCTTGTTTTATTTTCTCCCCTCTGTACTTACTAAATACAGTACACATCTATAATGGCTGACACAAAAGTAACAAAAAAATACCTGTTTATAAGAATAACTTAGTGGGGTTTGTTTTGGTGGGGAAGGAAGGAGAAGCCTGTTCTCTTTCCTATTTGGTAGGTTTTCTCAGCTTTCAGTAAAAATTTGTATTTGTAATTCTTCTTAAATTTGCCATTCCAAACATGATAGCTGTGAAATTCCAAAAAACTGCCTTCTGCATAAAAGCAGCATGCATAATCAGTAAGGCAAATCAGTGCTTTTGCTGCTGTATCTGACTTCCAAGTCAGATTTTTTGCTGCGACATTCCTCCTGCTAAACCTTTATGCCTCTTGCCTTTTCTCTTGAGGAACATATGAAAGAGGATGGTCTGTTTCCCATTTTTTATATGCTTGTACTTTTCAGCCTTAGACAAATGGAATTCAAACTATGAAAGGAAGAAGTTTGCATCCTTATGATTTCATGTGACTTAAATGATTCAAATGATGTTACACACATCTGCAAATTGGATACAATACAGATTATAACCTGTGACTCCTTCCTATTCTTACCTCTACACTAATACATGTTCTTTTTCTCCTCAGTGTTGCCTTCATTTGTTTTCCATGCATATTGTAGACGGACTGTTAGCTGAGGAAGCACTGTAGCTTTAGCTAGCTGAATAGTTGGTGTAACTTCAACTCCATGCTTGTGGTCCTTTTTGATGCAGCACCACAAAAGCTGGATGAAGATTTACTAAGGGACCTAAGGTGTCTACATCCTTCCACGTTTCATTCTCATAGCACCTTCCAGTACATTTGTGTTACATAAGAGAAAAGGAGGCATGATGTGCAAAGCCCTTACTTCTCATTAACTTCATGGCCGCGGTCAGCATTGCACTGTCCAAAGGGAGATACTAATGAGCTATGCCAGATCTCTCCAAATCGTAGGAATCCTTTCTGATGATGGCTAAATGTACTCCTGCTTAGCTCATGACTCTGTTCTTTCTCACATTGGTTGAGTATGCTGACTCCTCTCCTCCAAAGGATGTACTTTCTCCTTTCTCTCTCCTGAAGTCCTTCTCCATTCCCAGATGAATCACAGCCCTTATTCAAGTACTTCCTAAGGCTCTATTATTCTCATAGGTTCCCAGCACAGAACTGTGCTCTGAAGGCTTAAAATACTGCAAACCACAGGGTTTGCATCAGTTCCCAGGGTTTCAACTCCTTTTGGAGAAAGGATATTCAGTACTCCCTCTTTATGACCACAACCTTCAACGATGTTGTACCTTGACCTGTCTTCACTTCTAGTCCTGATTTCTGCTTTTACCATTTCTTGCCATCTGCTTCTTTCTCCCTAGAATTTATAAAAGTCTTTACGTCCCAAAATGAATCCTGGTATTAAAGAAGAAAAATGAATATGAACCTTTTTTTTTTTTTGGAGACACAGCTTAGAAAGAATTCTACTTGATCAATTTGTCCTATTTTAATTGTTTTTTCTACAGAGCAATTAAATAAGGGCCTGAGAATGTTGTAAAAACTTGATCTATTTGGTCTGCAGATAGTTTATCACTTTAAGTAAAAAGTTTGCAGTCACAGCATATCAGATGAAGATGATTTGTTTCTGTGTAAGCACTATTCATGTGAAACATGAATGTTCATGGACTTCATGTGCTATGGAGACAATTCAAAACCTCTTCCTTGAACACACACGTGTATCATGAGAAACACATAGCTTCCTTTACTACAGCTGGTTTCTGTACCTCTATAAGCAGCTACAAGAAAGAATTACTGTTCCATTTCTGAATAGGTTTATGGCTGCAAAACTGCTGTTCCTATACAGAAGTCAGTATACTGCGTTCCTTTCATTTGAATGGTTTGTCCTTCACTTCAAATCCACAAGTCAGGTTCTTTTCTCCATTTTATTGGTGGTGCTCATTACTGATCATCACTGATCTTGTACTTCAGTTTCCCACTGAATGGCTTGCTTGCAAAGGGCGATACTATGATAATTAATGTGGATTTCCTTTATCAGATGGGATAGTGTGCTCTGTTTGAACTTCAAGTTCCTCAGCTTTATTACTGATGTTTCACATGTTCTGAGATCTACAGCATTGTACATGACAGAAATCTGCAAGCAGAGATGAACTTTGTTAAAAAACTCTTTAGCAAAGCTACCAGCTTGGGCATTTGACTTCCTTCTATTTGGTGGCCAAACCAAGCAAACAATAAAACTGTTAGTCAAATAATCCAAAGGAATCATTTTTGAACGTACACATCAAAATGAAAAATTAAAATATTTCCTCCAGATTAAATTCAATGTTTTTAAAACTTAAAATATTTTGTCATTTGCAAGGAGACAAATGGCTTTATTCACAGAACACAGGGGAAGAAGAGATGGTGGTGGTGTGGTGGTGGTGGTTCCGCATTGTGCGTATGAGAGAGAGAAAGGAAGCATGGAGGCACAGAAAAAAAATATGAGAACAAGAGTACATGCATGTGCATATGAAGGTAACTGGGACACTTACCCAAGTGATGAAGGCCTAGGTTGTTGAATGACAACTTAATATACAAGTGAAGAAGTGGCAACAGGTGACACACACTGTAGCTCACCCTGTTTTATCCTATAACCTAGTTACACAGGGGCTCATTAAATGGTGAGAAAGTTGATAGAAGGAAAAAGAACAATAAGCATCCCAGGTCTCCCACACGGTATGGGAATGCTAGTTTGGTAGACAAGAAGAAAGCAAACATTCCTTCACTCAGTGTATTGAGAATCAAGTTTTTTATTTTGTTCTCTTTTAAGTGCCAGAAAAGGAAAGATTAGTTTTACCACTTCTTAAACAATTTCAAACCAACATAGTATATTTGAATTTCACTGAAGCTATCCAACTAAACTGATTTGAGCTAGCAAATTTGAAAGAGCATCTAGCTTCAGCTGCTCCAAAGTGTGAGTTTAAGTTAACTAACCATCCAGTTGTTTCTTGACTTCTTCTGTTGTGTCATCCAATTAAACGAAAAGAAAACCATCTGTCTGAACAAACTAGTGAAGAATAATTGCTAAATATTATTCTTAATGAAAAAACATTAATTGTCTGTAATGTGTCTGTGTGATGGGATCTACCTGTGGCCTGGAAGAACAGGCAGATGCCAGAGCCACTTGCTGAACATATCTTTGAATCCAGAGCTGCTGCAATTTTTTATTTTATTTTTTTTAGTAAGTGGTAAATCATAAGATTTAACCAAAGAGACACTTTGGCTTCTGATTACAGGTAAAACATTTACTTTGTCTTAATACCTATTGAACTCAAGCCAACGTTTTCCTATATAAAGAAAGGAAATGCTGAAGTTGTTAAGTACTGCAGTTCCTTATAACACTAACCTTTGATGTGAAACGCTTAATGCTGTACAGTCCCCTGTATCAGATGATGCAATATGCATTAGCATTACTATGCTCAAGCATGCATTTTTTTTTTTCTGGGCTTCCTGAAAGTAAGCCAGTGAGTAAAAAGGATGTGCCAGAAGAACAGGCTGTATATTTTCTAATAGAAAGATTTGAAACAGGAAAAATGTTGCTTGGAATATTAATTTTTGCAAATTAAATACTCATCTAGGAAGGAAAGATGAAAAGAGGCGTATATAAACTTCAGCTGTGGTCACAACATTATCAATCTTCCAGACTCTCTTCAGAGCCAATTATCGATTCAAAGCACTAACATGAAACATAAGACCATACTAACTAGAAATAGCCTAAGCAGTAAATTGATAGCAACAGAGAACATAATGTAGTAAGAAATCAGAAGGAAAAGTATTTCTAAAACCATTCTTTTTTAGCGTTTTAGAGAAAAAAACCTGCACAGATATATCAGACATAAAACCACATTCTTCCTCATGAATCCTGCTATGCCTAACATATTAGAGGTTAAGAAGCAAATATTTCAATCGCATTAGGTTTCCTCCTCCTGTGTTTCAATTACAAGGGCTTTAAAATCCACCAGTACAAATCCTTCTCTGGAATATTTTGCAGTTCCCAGGCATTTTATTGTGTTTCGTAACTTCAAAACAGATAGCCAGCCTGTCAATTTGTTAAAATTGGTAAAGCAACATTTAAATCAATGAAACTATGCCAACTCACATCAGTCCAGAACCCATTTGGCAACTTTTACTATTAACAAACCAACATTGTGTGATTTTGTGTTATATAATGTCTTCCTGCTGCAAAACAAAACTTCTTGAAAAAACTGTACATCTAATACCATTATTCATTCAATTTAATCCACCAGAATTGCACAAAGTGGTCTCAAAGATGCAACTAATACCTATCCACAGTATGAACTCTAGGCACCAGTATTTTTCTAGGTTATGCTGAATTCTTTTCAAATTTCAGGGTTATGTTTGCACTTGCCCTTTCTTACAACAGCTGATTTTGCCTCTCACCATCTTCCAAGTAAAGAAAAAATGAACACCTATTAGTAAAAGATGACAGATAAGTTATGAAATATTTCAAGTGTCTTTCAAGTTTCTTCTTTTCTAATCATAATTACTGTCCTTCTCCTGGGAAGGATGGCTTGATTCTTTTGAAGAAGTACTTCTCAGACTTTGATAGCCCATGAATAAAAATACTGGGCAAGTATAAGGCTGTGCATGCCATCACAGTTGGCTTCCCCGTTTGCCTTCTGCTTTGATTATTTTAATTCGCTGTGCTTGCAAGCACTATGAATACGTGAAGTCTATCTTATGTCTGCTCTCCCCTTCTTTTATTTATTGTGCGTAAGAAGTGTGAAATCTCAAAGGCAAGATCTAAAGTTGGAATCAGAGAGAATATTTTGACTTCCTATATCTTTTAAGTGGAAAGATCCAAGTTTCTCAATGCGTTGCTAGAAGCAGAATTTATATAAAAGACTTAAAACTCCCTTTTGATGTATTATAGAAGAGTCACCACAATTGACAATTTATTCAGAGTTACAATAAGGCACTCAAATGCTACAGGGTTTTACTTGTACTATGATGCTACTACATCAAAACAGTAATATGGTATAAGAAGTAACAACAAAATAATGAAATTATATTTTACTGTTGTCTTTAGGCTTATTTCACAGTTACTTCAGTAAAGTTCAGAGTTCACTGCCTTCCTAAACTTATGGCAACTCCCAACTGGAGGGACAGGTGTGAACATACTAGGAACAGCTCTGCTGCTGCTGTTTGGTAGTATCTCCAAGATCCATCCAGGTTCTGGGAATTGCTGTACTAGCATTGTTCAAAGATGTATCATGGCAAGGTGATGCCTGCGCTTCCATTTTATGTACCTTTTAATTCCAGAATAGTCCCTTTAACACATGTTGAAGAGATATCATAGTGCAAAAGCAAGGAACTGGAGGACTCTTCATTAGTATTCAACCCACACAGGATCTCACATCCTTCCTTCCAAAGGACCAAATAGGTGTGAGTCTGATTTCTTTATCCAGAAAAATCTAATTAATACAGAAATACTGTCACTTTGAAGTGCATCCCCAGAGAGACGAAATTATCATGATTGTCTACTCTGCATAGTGCTCTAGCTATGTTAGCCCAAACAAAATATGTCTTACGCAGCCAAGAAATCTATTTTTAGATCTGAAATTGTATCCAGGTTAGAACTGGATTAGTAACAGCACATTGCCTAACCTTTGAGGCGGAAGCTCTGGGCTGAGCTATTGCAAAGGTTCCCAGCTGGGAATCATGCCCTCAGTAGGACATAATGTTGTACAGTAAATGGTGGTTTCTTGTCTGTGAATATTCACATATTTATAGAAGGAAAGTATTATAAGTTGAAATCCCTTCACTTCCCTGGCAATACTGACAAGTAATTGGTTCAGAAAGTAACTTACAGAGTACTAAGAAAAATGCAAAATTTCTCTTCAGAGGGAACATTTCCTCCTTTTTGAGAGCATTGTTAGATTCCGAGACACACTAAAACGTTTCTTAGTCTATCTGTTCATACTTAACATGGTATTGCGAATATAACATATGGCATGATATATACTATTTTATATTATTTATTTATTTTTATGCTTGTAGTGGCAATAATTTCCCACCAACCTTTGCATTTACCATGATCTCATGATATGACAGGACTAGCAGTTAGGAAACACAGGTTTCTTTCCTATTTTTCTGTCCTGAATGTATGAGTTCAAGAAAAGTAATTTGATGACTCACTGCCTTACTTTTTCCATCTGCAAAACCTGAGGAATAACTGCGTCTTTTCATAAGCCTTTTGATTTCTTGAAGACCTTCCAGTGGAATACACCACCTGCATGCATATACACATTATATGAGATCAGACAGTGTGTCACTATGCCTCCCTTCAGTCTCTTCCCCTCACACCTCAAACCAGTATAACTTTCAGATGCTACCCAGGCATGCCAGAATATCATGGTAACATTTCATCTTTGAATGGACTAAGATATTTTCATAGAAAAGTGTACATTTAGAGGAATTTGGAAAAGAATAAAGACAACTTATTTCTGAGAACTCATGTTTTGAATTAGGTGCAAAGAAGTCACTCTGGATGGGTCAGCAGGTTGGATTGACTTGAAATTATCTCAGAGAAGAACCTGTAGAAAATGGTGGCATGCAGAAATGTGTAATGAAACCTAAAAATGGGATTCAGCTAGTACTTTAGGAACATTAAGAGCTACACTTAAATTCTGTATTTCTAAGACTGGGAAATGGATAGAATGTCAGAATGCAACTCTTTGATACCAAAATGTACAAATCTGTTTTACAGGAGAAACGAAAAGGAAAAGACCATGCTGCACTCAGAAGTAGTACAGCTAGTATAGCATGAATGGGAGAAAAAGCAGGTGTTACATAGTATATGAGCACAACGCTCGCCCCGATTGCTGGAACATGCCATACCAAGCTGTAGTAATGGCATGTGGGAAGATGGAAGCAGGTAGGAGAGTGGGGCCAACATCTTGTTTAGCCCTCTGATGAGCCTGTCTGCCTTTTTCTGTCTTTGAACACTCAAAAGGAGCTTATTATGGCTACTCAGAGTCTACAAATGCCAGCTGGGAAAGACGCAGGTCTTCAGCTTTTGTGGAGCTGTTGCCATACAAGCTCCCACTGAACTTGCTGGAAGTGAAGGTGGTTAGAATCAGTGAAGATATAAAGCAATGGAAATTATAGACAGCCACTTAAAACAACAGTAACTATCCACAATTCAGTAGTTCCACAGTGTGAGCTACCTAATTCCTGTTGTTCATTACTTTTTCTTGAACTAGACTGAAGAAATTTTGTATATTTGGGAATATCCTCATTTTGCTTAATAAAATCTTGGAGCCTCAAAACCTGGATTGGCAGAGAAAAAAAAAAAAAAGGATCACAAATTCTCATGGTGAAAACATGCCCATTCACCCACAATCTCACAGAATGGACAATCGCAGACTATTTCATTTTTCTTCTGAAAAAGGTATCAAATGCAATTATATACTTGGGGCAGAAAAATAAATGCATCGGCAGAATTTTCACAATGGCACTGATTTCAGTTCTGTTAAAGCAGTTGTTTTATAGCTTATCCATGAGATAAAAGTATCAAAATGTTCACAGGCAAAAACTTCACATGATCACACTGAAGAAAAGGAAATATCTTGCATATAACGTTTTGAAGTAGATAGCGTTTGCCAAAAACAACTGAACAACACAAAAGGGGAACACCTCAGAGGGAGAAAATGTGTATTCACAGTTGTCAGAAATTTTAAAGGTGCACTGTTTACTGGCTAAATAATTGCCTTTTAGGGGTTCTGCTTTTGTTTTGGCAGAAAATTATGTATCCAACCTATTTCAAATAATGACACTTACCTGCATAAATATTTCAGTAGACATACTAATCTGGAAAATTTGCATCATCTGGCCTGCGATTGACTATACATTACAGCTGTTACAGGTGGATAATCTATATATGAAAACATCTCAGGTATTTATTTCCAGATTAATCTGTGTCTGCAGACATTATGACTTGGGTGTAATCAGAGAGGGCAACAGTACATAAGCTATGACATCCTCAAAGCTACTTTGGGGTCACGATGCTTGTCTATTTCATTCTTGATCTTGAGAACATAGAGGGAGGCATATCTAGCTACTAATATATACTAAATTATTGCACAGTCAAATCTGCTTCAGTTACCACCCTTACCATCAAGCAGGCAAAACAGAAACAATTATCTATTCAACCTTTTTTTCCCATTCAATTTTCTTGCTCAAGGGAGCAAGCAAGCAGGCCCTTTTACATATCTGCACATACATACACAAAAAATCAGAAAGTAAATGAGAGCTGTAAGGAACATTCTAATCTCACTTAGCCCTGTATACAGACGAACAGAGTCACCATCCAAGCCTGATATAGCCAAACTCCTCACCAAAAGCCTTAGTGTATCTCCAAGGAGTGAGATATGAAATTTATCAAAATAAATAGGCTTGTTAAAATCTTCATAGATGTTCAGGAGCAGTAATTTCTGTTATTTCTATCTAGAGTTCTTGCATATTTTCTTGAATGATAGTCACAGCAAATACAATTAAAATCTAATCAAGAATCTCTCAGATGAGAGGAAAAATGAAGAGCCCTTTTATTACTGGGTTACATTTATGCCCAGTTTACCTCAAGTGAAGAGTTTTGAAGTTTCCCAGTTAGGACTTCTTTCTCTTTCTCTAGTTGCTTTAGTTCACACTCAGATTTTCTTTTAAATTCCTCTAGCTGTGTCTGGAGCTCCTAAAGTAAAGAAAAAAAAAAAAAAAGAAAAAAAAAGAGAAGAGCATGCAACAGCTGGGACAAAACATGCACTAAAAAGAATATTTCTTCTACATTAACCTAGATAATAGAGCAATTTACACAGTAATACATGCTACTGTTTACACAATAATACATGCTACTGTCTTTTAATGTCACTTATGTATTATTCAAAGAAGTACTAACAGTTTGGTTTGGTTCTTTCTAATACTAGTGTTAGACAATGCAGCTCACATAATCCTAATCTTCTACTGAAAGCTTCCCTGAGGTGGAAAACTGTACAGCATGAAGAATCAGACTGTTTTGCCTTGAGTGATGTTACTGTTCAAAAATAATTTAGCATGCAACAGTCACCCACAAGATCTGAAAAAAACATAAATCTACATTAACCATATAAATAACCAGATGACTAACTAATGGACGATTAGTGGAAAAGGGAATCAAAGGAAGCACTATCTTGTAGCATCCATAAAGAAAATCCCAGCGAGGAAGTAAAAACAAAATAAAATCAATGATAATACCACTTGCAAGACAGTGACCAAGAGCTTGTAACAATCATTTGTAGCAACTGTGAATAATTGTTGATTGTAAAAAGACTGAATGTTGAACTTCTAGAAACATCCTGAAGTAACATATGCTACAAGCTTATTAGTGTGCTTCCTCTTCCTATTATGCCAGTTTGCTGACTCAAAAAAAATATTATACCATATTTTCAGACACCACAAACAGAGGAAACAGAGAAAAAATAGCAATTCAACACCTTCCCCATCCTATACAACCACTTCTCACAGCCCCACCCCCGTTTTTATAGTGCAATGATTTAAGGATTGAAGATAACAGAAGTACCTAAAAACTAAGAAAGTGATAATCATTGGGAGGATGGTATGATATTAGGAAACAGAAGCACAGGCAATAGTGACGTATTCCTCGCAACTCATAATAAAATGAAGGAAAAAGCATTAGCACTTCACACTTTAAAAAAACAGGATAACTGTTAGATAGCAGTTAAAAGATGGAATCAAACACAGACCCCTGAATATTGCAAGGGAGAAATGAGCTTTAGTTTGACCTGTTAGAAAAGAAGAGGATATAATAGTTTTTGATTAAAATCCGAAGATCAGGTGTTTACAGCATTCCCACTGCAACTCTGCCAACTGACTACATTCTCTATATCTTAATTTTTCTACCTGGAAAATAGATATAATACTCCTCAAACAGCTGTTACAGGCCCTAATTGCATCAGAGGATATAAAAAGCATTAGTAATGAAAAATATTGTAATTTTATTTAAGTTTTACTAACTCAATATTTTTAATATAAGTCTATAAGAAGACATGATTATAAGTAATAATATTTATTGCCTATAAGCAATAAATGCCTACTATTATGCCTTTTTTACTAAAGTATCAAGGTCTTGATATTTAAATTTGATCTGACTCACATGAAGAGCTTCAGTCGGGCATCATTTTAAGTATACTTGTACAAATTATTCACATAAAAGAACACACTATATAAAAGACAAAGCTCTTTTCATACAGCTTATCCTTGATAGTGTAACTATGTACCTTGAAGCACTGCATCTTCACATACTGATCAAACGTGAGCACTTTCACAATCAGATAAAATAATTTACTCACATAGGTTCCTTTTCCGGAAATGAGATTGCATAAATGTAAAAACTCCAGCAGTTTCATAGGTAGAAATGAATTCTTCTGATGAGCACTTAATACAATTCCTAGTCTCCAAAATCTAGAAGGTACTGTGAAGCTCAATATTTAGTGACAGGAGCTGCATGCTTTTTATGACTTCACAACTTGTCAACAAGCAATTTGATTATTCTCAAGTAAGTGTTGAACTGGGAAAGGTACCGCAGCATTAAAACTGGGAAAAATGGGTAGAAATACATTCTTAGCACCAAGAAGGGTCTAAAGAAAACTTGATCAGTAGTCAGATTGTCCAGTTCTACAAACTGCTCTAATTAATATTTTTTTTTTGTCTTGAAGGGTCTGACAAACACATAAGTACATTAGGAGACAGAAACTAAATTTCCCCTTAGTTTATGCCCAAATTTGGCAATTTACTTGGGCAGGCACTGAGTTGAAAGCTTCACTAAGCATTAAAGGATGTGCTTAACACTAAACACGTGTTTCAAGGTTTTTCTCCATTTGAATAGACTTCAACTCACATTTAGTTTCCTACTGCACAGAAACATTACAGATTGCAAATTTCCTGAAGCCAAAGGATTCTGCCACAGACAGCAGTTCTTGTGAAAGTGAAATTCTGTGAAGAATCTCTTAAGCCAAACACTGATTATAGATACCGAGAACAAAAATTACAGCTCAGCTATTTAAAACACATTGAGAGAAGGCATTGCTCAGGCAACCTATCCGGATCCATGAGAAGATAAGCATTGCATAAACAATGCAAAATTTTGATTAAATCAACGTATCTGAGTATTCCACAGCAGCAATCCATGGAAATTTAAGTCAGAAATTGGAATACACCTACAATACATTTTTCTTCAGGAGGAACCTTATATTAATCACTGCAGCTGTCACATGCAAAGCAAGGATAAGTGTTGTTAAGGCGGCAGTTTATTACATCAAGGATAAATTCACCTTTTTGCCTGTGGAGCTTTTCACAGAAATACACCAGTTTGACTTTTTTTTCCTTTTTTTTTTTTTCAGTAAGACCGTAGCAAGAAAAATCTTGCATTTTATGTTAATTCAAATTGCCTCCAGTGAGCATAATTCAAATGATGTCACTGTGACCAATAAGATTAAAACCAGATGAATTAGAGCATCTATAAATAGAACATTCCCATTTTCTGCATTTTTTTTCTTTCAGCTTCCATGAAGTTTTAGACTGGCTTGATTTCCTTTGTATGCTTCATTACAAGACCTTCCAGCCCTTTTAACAGCTATTCCTTCAAACAAATCTTTTCCTTATGAGACTGTTGCTTGCCTTTACAAAGCGAGTTCTCTGTGTCTTTTATTCATACCCTTTTTAAAAAAAGTTAGTTTCCATAGTCTATAAAACACACTCGTAATATAATATGACAAAACCAGAGTAGAATTCTGGCATTGCAGTAATCTATTTTTCAGTGAATGTGCTATTTAGTTGCATGTACTTAATTGAAAAATACTAGTTTTATTTTAGTTAACAATGTAGAACTGTAGAATTCAGAATTAATGTAGAATTCAGGGCTGTATGCCTTTTTCGCAGTCTAGAAATTGAGTTTTTTTGCTGTTCTGGTTTGAATTTGGGTGTGTAACTCACTACCAACCATGCAGGCTTCCTCAAGGACAACCTTAGTTCTGTGAAAAAGTACAAAGGACAATTTGTTTTTTCTTATGTCTCTGATGCCAGGTCTAATTTCCCAGAATGCTAACATAACAATACTCTAGGATAACTAAAAAATATAGAAGAGATTTGGGGCTGGACAATTGTTTAAGGGGAGACATTGTACAGGGAGAACTCTCAGGATACATACATTTCTCATTATACTGAATTTATTCCTTTATTATTTCTCCATAGCTTTTCAGTAAAACTGTTTTCCATATTTAAAAAAAAATAAAATAAATCAGTATTCCAACTTGACCTCAACAGAGAAAGTCTGCCTTGGACCTTCTTCTCTTTAGGGTTTTGGTTACAGAAGAAGTTGAACATTCTGCCCTGGTCTAGCTCAAGGACGTCAGTAGTTTCTTTGCTGTCATTGTAGCAACTCATGTACTTCAGGTTATGAACATGAGGCAGTGTTCTGCTGGACGAGGTCGGAGACCTGGGAATCTTACAGGTTTGACTGCTGTAGAATACTCCAAAAGCCATTAATATTAAAAGAAAAATGACTTTGATTTCATTACTTTTGGCATGCCATGCCTTTGAATATTTGAGAGCAAACCACCTGTTTAAGCTCTTGCACATCTTCAGAGCTGCTCTTGTTCTGGCTCTGTTTTGTAGAAGTCATTTGCTGGAGCTGTGCTGTTTTGATGTTTCAGTTCATCTACTTTATTAACATTTTTGCTTCGGGAATTCAACACAGTTTCCATATCTTCTGTGGTATCAAAATTTACATTTCAAATAGCATAAATAACTTGTGGAATTTCCAATGTGAGTGACTACTAAGAAAGGGAAATACTTCAGAATGACATTAATGAGCATCTTACCTGCTTTTTGCAGGATTTCCTTCTCTTGAAGTATATTTCTCTCTTTGGCTACACTTAGATATTCCTCCACTTTTTTCACTCTGCTTTTTGATCCCAGAATTTCTTCTTGTGTTCCCTTAAGCTACACTTCCAAATCCTAAAATATGCACGACATTACTTCTACATTTATTACATATGTTCTTTTTTTGTCACCTAAAATAAAGGACTTTTGTCACCTAAAATAAAGGACTATTTTCCTTCTCCCAGATTTATCCTAGTCTGAGCTATCTCTTTAAAGATTCGAGGCAATTTGCTCCAGTGATATGTAAATCAGCCTCATTCCATGGTCATTTTCTCCCTTGGTATAGTTCTATGACATAAATCTTTCACCTACAGAGCTGGTTTAAATGCATTTTTTTCTCTTCCATACCTCTGTACTGTCTCTGCTGCCAGACTATTTGTAATGTGGAGCCATTCCCTCAGATGTAGTAGGCATCATTGTCTCAACACCCATCAAGAGTTACTATCTAAAAGATGTCTGAGATTATCCTAAACTTGGAACAGGATATACTTCCATTAATTTCACAACAACTTGTGCTGAAAGTTAATGAATATTAGTTTGGCGGTTTTTGCAGTTGCTGAAGTACAATAGTTTGTAATAATCCAAAATACAGATGCCTAAAACCAGAAAAATCGTCTGTTACAGACTTTGCTGGGAATTGTCTGTCCATAACTAAAGGCAAAAATTTGAACCATATTTAATGTTCTGTTTCTGGAGGTTCTAGTCTCAGTTTCCAGATGTCTAACATAACACTGCAATATTCACTCAGACAAAATTGCCATTTGTTCCTAAATGAATGTTGAGTAAAACCTCATGGGTTAAAACTAACATATTTAACACTCTCTGTAGTTGAAAACTTAAAGGAAACTTGTTCCCTTTACATTTGGCATATGCCAAAATTCTTCTAAAACTAGACTGAACAGATCAGACTTAATGACTTGTCATCCTTTGTATTGTCTCCTCCATAGTAATAATAATAAATGTGCACTAATGTGATGCCTTTCATCTAAAGGTCTCAAACATCTTGGCATACACTAAGGAGAAAATAGAAAATTCATCTTGCTTAAACATCCGTCCTTTTATCTTTCAGGCCTTATAATAGCTTTTCTTGCTGGTATTTACTAATGATCAGAGGTATTACTGATTAAAGAAATGTCTCTGTTTCCCATCTGACATCATCCCCAGGATTCTGAAAAAAATGTAGTACTTAATGGCGGCATCAGAAATAGCCAATTTAGAAAGGAAAAACTTCTGCATCTTTATATAAACAGGAATGAAACATAAAACACTGTGTCTAACTATTTTCCTTCTCTCAGATTTATCCTAGTCTGAGCTATCTCTTTAAAGATTTGAGGCAATTTGCTCCAGTGGTATGTAAATCAGCCTCATTCCATAGACTTAGAGGATCTGAAAGATATCATTTGAGCATATGTCCCTCAGAAAATATTTCAGTTTTATCCAGCTGATACTGAATTTAGAAATTAAATTGGTAACAACACCACCTTCTTATTTCCAGTTCCTATCATGTTTTACATTCTATATTCTTAAAAGATTGCATTTCTTATACGACAAATCAGAACAGTAAACCACATGCATAAATATTTATGTCTCCATTCTTCATTTCTCCTGAATGTTACTTCAAATATCCACAAGAAATCAGAATCTTACTTTCCTTCTTCCCCTCTATTGCTTTTTAACTTCTACAGAATCAGGATGCTTTTCCTTATTGAAACAGATATTACAGATTTCCCTGTCTCAATTTAAAAAAATGGTTTATCTGCATCTCTGCCATTAATTATATCCTCTCCACTTTCCTGCAGAAGATAGAGTTTGTTCTGCTGAAGATCTACACGCTGAGAGAACTGAGTCTGAATAATGTTGGGGAAGGCGTATTCAATGCACTCTCTGATCTTGTGAAACAAAAAGGCAGCAACTGTACTGAAGGCTGAACTCCCTCAAAGAACATCCTCAAAGAAGAAGCCCAGAACTGTGTACCATCAGCAAAATTGACACTGACAGGCAAAACGTTGAGGGTAGCTGGTGAGAAGGGTCAGAGATGTCTTGGAAGAACACAGCTGACTGGAGTGACCTTGCTCTCTACAGGATTCTGGGGTTCTCTGACTCTAAAGGAGATAAATCTTCTTTTCCATCAGGAAACAATTATTGTTATTCGGAAATACTCCAAGTCTAGATCTTCAAGGCGTTTTCTTATCTCATACGCAAGATTGCTGTCATAGGGCTGGGGACAGGTCTGGTAGGTGAGTTTATGTGATGGGAAGGACCAATCGTATCAGAAGGATGGGGAACCATTGAGCACAGAGCATGGCTGGGTGCTTTGGTTTCAGAGCAGTTCATCAGTGTCTCTCTGGCACCCTGACCTTGGGTACTAAATGCAGCTGTTTGGCAGATGGCCCATGATGCGCCAACCTCTGAAACTCCACCTGACGCATGACGCAATTAAGCAGAAAGGGGCTGCGGAGCTGTGCTGCCAAGGTATGACATTCACACCAGCTAGGGCACACAGGCAAAGCGTGAGGTGAGAACTGACCGCGCGAGTCTCATGGCTCAGCACACGGAACTTCACAGGTGTAAAGGACACTTCATTAAACGGCACGTGGTACAAGCCACTGTTGCAAGAGTCATACAACGCAAAGCACTTGATTCCTAATCTGCCAGCTCAGGTGTCTTACCTAACCCAGTTCACGTCCATGCACTGAGCTGCTGGCAACCACAGGGGGAAAGGAGAACGCACTCTGTAAATACTCATTGCTAGCATTAGTGCCAGCTTGCTGTGCTTTCCACATTTCTGGGAAGGAAAGGTAAAGCTCTCTTCAGTCAACAGACAAATTTTACCTCACTCATCCCTCAGGGAATACAAAGTCTAATATCCAAAGAGTTCTCCTAATGGGTTACTGATCATGGTAACTCTTTCTTTCATACTCTCAGCACTATACCCCTCCTATTTCTCTTCTAAGCCTCTAAAACTGTTTTAGTGCTTACAAAGCATTTGACCAAATGATGGTATTTAAAACACCACCCCCACCACCCCTCTCCCCGTCAATTTTGAAAAATTGATAATTTGCACTTTTATAGGCAGAAATAGGGATCACGCAGTCTACCTGTATTCTCTCCTTCAGCTTCTGGGAATGCTTCTTCTTCTCATTTATCTTCTGGTTTTTCTCCTCTAGGTCTGCCTCCAGCTTCTTTACCTGCTGCAGCAAAAAACCTTCCTCAGTCTCTGAGCTCTTCCTTTGCTCCATTTCTCTTTGCTGACAATTCTTAGTTTCTATCATAGATTGCTGCATAGCCTTTTTCAAAGTCTCTCTCTCGTAAGAGGCTTGCAGTTTGCTTGTTTTCTGAGTATATTCTTCAGTTGCTTTCTGATTCTCACTGTTCAGGTTTTCCATCTCATTTATTAGATCTTGTCCTTCCACAGTATATTTTTCATCTAAAATTACTTTTTTATCTAGATTTTCTCTCCTAGATGCTTTGCAGTCATTTAGCAATCCATCAGACTCCTGATTTAAATGTAGAAGCTTGTTTTCAAAGTCTGCTTTGGTATCTACTGCTTCTGTAGAAAGGATGGTTGGTGCTTGTTTCGCTTCTGTTCTCAGCTCCTTCTCTTCCACCTGCTTCTTGTACAATGTTAACTCTGCCATGGCTTCTTCCTTCAGTCTCTTGTGCTGTTCTACTGCAATTTCAAGGGCCTGAATACGTTTTCTCAGAAATTTTTCGTCTTCAACTTTGCTTTTACACTGGAGAATCGTTTCCCTTTTTTCAGCAAGAATGTGCTGAATTTCTTCTTCATGAGCTTCTCTCAGAGCCTGTATACTAGCCTCATGTTCATCATTCTTAGTGTTCAGGGCATATATCACCTATTGAACATGAAAAATTATAGGAAATTAAAGTATCTGGTGAATGGTAGACATGAATTCAGTTATTATATTTATCAAGGTGTTAAATACTAAAAGACAATTACTGTTACAGTTTAATCTTTTTTCTTGTTGTTGTATCTTCGTGTTGTGTTTGTTTGTTTTTTTCCAGTAGGAACAGAAGGGACAATTATAAACCACAAAACCTTATAGGGAAGGAAAACAATATTGTGAGAAACAATTTTTTTTCACTTTTTGTCAAAAATTTATTTTTTTATTCTTGATAAATTATCACTTCATGCCCCTAGTTTGGTCTCTACTACAAGGAATGAAATAAGGCCTCTTCTTGAGCTAACTGACTCCATATTTGGAGTCCAGTTCATCCAGCCTTCAATGCAGGAGGATGACCTGCCGCATTGCCTTTAGCATTAGCAAGTGCTGGAGACCAGTAGTAGCAGATCTGTAAAGTGAAACCTGAAGTCCTCACACTCAGTTCATGTGGACCAAAAATCACTCTGTGATGTAAACGAGAGTTTGTAAGGAGGATTAAATTTTGCACTCCTGACTCAAACTAAACCACCGCTGAAGATGCACTCCTGGAAGCCATGTCTGGCAAGTTAGCTTGGTCAGCGTTTCAAGACAGGTATTACTTGACTGCAAGCACCTTTTGGCTTGACTCTGAGAAGTGTTCAGGCAATGAGGTTTTTTTTCCTCACTTCAGTAACTGCTATAAATCTCAGAAATCAGGTTTTAGCAGATTTGAGTGAGCCTTTGATGACAATAAGGTATTTTTTCAAACAATTGATTTAAACCTTTTGATGCTTTATTTTCTTCTACAAAATGCAGAATAATAATTCTCATGAGTCAAAACTGGTAAATGTGCATGTAAGCTTACAAGACAGTTATATATAATTGCAAAATATAGTAATTGCCTTGAAAAGACACGTGCTTGTTTTTTCAGGCCCCCATTAGGACACATGGGGGCTAATCCAGTTTCTACTGGACATAATTATCTAACAACACGTTATGCATTAACATGTGTGGAGGTTTTCCACTTGTTCGGTTGGTTGGAGTTTTTTTTAGAGAGAACTTATTGCTCTACAAAACTAGGTTAGGAATTCGTACATAAGTTATGACAGATACTTTCAGTCTGGGCTGAGCACATAGAGGTTAATCAAAAGATTCCTAAACAATGTTTGAGAAAATAATAGTCTTAAGTACATAAATAAATACAGAAACAAGGTCACAACTAATTCTTTAATTATACTAGGATATTGGCCCTGTAATCTTCAATCCTTCCTCAGGGAAAGCCTCAATTGAGAAACCAACAGGCGTCTTTACCACTTAAGCATCACAAGTCTGTAATCTGTGTTGTATAAACTCTGAGGATGTCTCTGGAATTAGTGAATTTCCTTAGCTATGTCTAACCATTTTTTGTGCTATCTGTACATGAATAACATACTGAAATTCAATCATCTATAAATGAAAGTAAACATACAAATACATCCTGTGTATAGTCAACTTCCGCCCTGGCAGGAATGAATTAAGTACAGAAGCCTTAAAAAGTCACAAATGCAAAACATGGTCTGGATACCTTTCTGGATAAATATATGACAAAAGAGAATAACGGCATCATATTCCAGAAAAAAAGCAGACAAGAAGTCATTGTTGACATTTAGATATGCACATTTTTGGGCCTTAGATTACATATTGTTAATTCCTCCTGGTATTTTTAACCAATTTTCCTTTGAAACATAAATATTTGCAGCATACCAAGCAGATTCCTTCTCCCCACTAACTAAAATCATTCTATGAACCTTTCTTAGCTATTCAGCAGATAGACATAAAAACTACAAAGAGAAGATTAATTTTGCCCATGGGTTTAGAATGACCAGTAATTAGTTTGGGCAACTCTTCAATCAGATAGGTCAGATATTGATGATCATATTGCTGTGTTTCATTCCACCAGCAAAACAGAGATGAACATCTGACCTGTGTCACTCAAAGTCTTCCACTCTTAATGATTAATTTATCTAGTAAATCAGCACTGCCTGTCTCATATTATGTTGTGTTCAGGCTTACAGTGGAATTGGGATTCCTCTAAAGTCTGACTTCATCACAGAGATCTCCCAAATTCCACTGAGCATTAGACCATCACCAATAAGTGAGTAATCTGAAAGAATGGAAGAAACTGGCCTCCCTGCTCTGTTATTCCTACACTTCTGTTCAACAGTGGCTAGAACTACAATGAAGAATTTTGACTTGAAAATGCATGCCCTTAAATTTAATCTTCAAGCTTAAGTGCTGAAACTGATTCCTCAGTATCTTAACCTTTTTAAGACAGAATTTTTAGAGGGCTGCTGCTCTGTACTTTATGAAATTTAAGCCCATCACACATGCCTTTCGCTCCCTACTGAATATAGCTACTATATTCCTATTTCAGACACCTTGTCTAAAAGACTGGATTTATTCGAGATGAGTCTGGGACTTTACATGCTGGAATGAAAAACACTGAGAAATTATCTCAGCATCTGTACCTTGTAAGTGAACACACTGCTGGCTAATGTGGTATAAACCTCTTAACAGTTGTGTAGATAAACAGCTTTTTAAAAGTAGCTCTAAAATTGTTCAGTTTGACAATACAGATAGAATTGCTTTCTAATGAAAAGGGCTCCATTACTGAGTTACTAGCATAATACCAATGGCTACTGCCTCCTTACATTTCTCCAAAACTGAATGTATTGGGAAACCTTGTACTGAGGTGAATTTACAGTAACTGAGAGTTACATGACAGGTTGGTAAAAACACTATTACACACAAACTTGAACATTAACAGTGCAGTGAATATGAATACATCTTATTAATTCTATTCTATCCTCCAAATGCTGTAAATATAAATGGCATTTCCCTTCTCCTTTTCTTTATGGTAATGTAAAATAACAGAAAACATTCAACTGCACCTCATCAGTGAAGACAAAGCTAAAGCATTCAATCCAAAAATGACTGTTCTGTCTTCCTACAGTAGTGTTAAACACTACTCTTGTAGGAACCTGACTATCATAATGGAAAAAAATGGTTCTAGCAAGTTGCTTTACTAGCTGAAAAAGAAGCTAGTTTGGTATGGAAGGTGAGTGAGGATGATATAAAGAATCAAAGAAAATTAAAATATTATTAAGTGCTCTTCCTTCAGGCCCAAGCAGGTGGACACAAATCCTTCCTGATGGAGAAATGGCTAAACGAAAAAAAAAGAAACACGAGAATAAGAAAAGGCCCTGACGGGGAGTGTCAAATAGGGTACTCGTGGCAGCACCCTAAGCGAAACAGAGAAGGAGACAAGTTTGCATTGCTAATTAGCTTGCTATAGGCTCACTGATGCCAGGTGACCCCATTGACTCCTTTTCACTAGTAGCAGTAGTATCTTATCTTCACTATCAGGTGAATTTGTTTCTATGAACTTTGTCTTGTCTGCTTCCAAAGCAGACCAGAGCAGAGTGAGGTATCTAAACATGACAGCCTTAAAAAGGTCTCTTTTAGAGCAAAGGACAGAGAAATTATTAAAAGTAAGTGCAGTTCTTGAAAGAAATGGCTCTCTAGCCTCCTCTGTCACTGTAACTATACAGGTTAGAAAATAAACCGAACTACCACAATTTATTAATTAATAAGTATCTTTTGTACTTTCTAACACTGAAGAAGGAAGAATGTCTTTTAATTAGGGCACAGGCCCAGCTATTATAAGCTACAGTGCTGATCAATTTTACACTTATGCTGATTTCAGCTGAATGATACTGCTGCAACATATGACCAGGGACCTCATGAACTAAGTCTCAAATCTCTCCTTCTGTCCCCTGTGGCTTCCAGAAAGCACAAGAATAATTTTATGCACCCAAATAGTTGCAACAACTGTTGATAACATAAACACATAAATGGGTACTATGAGAAAAGCTTTTAAAAAATTGGCACTCCAAACATCCCAAAGTGATTCAGAACCTAAAATTACAAAAATATTTTTAAAATCACAAGGAATTTTATTTCTATTTTTAAGTTGTTTGTTTTTTTTTTTAGTTTGCCTTACGATTTTTTAATCTTCCACGTGTGACTTCAGCACCTTGCAAAAATACAAGCTAAAGTAATGTATTTTCCTCTGAAATGAAAGCTCAGCTTCAGCTGAAATAAATTTATTTTCAAAAGCTGGAGTTTTGGAGAGAAATACCAAAGATTTCGTTTGTGAACTTTCAAATTACATAGCTTACTACCATCCCATTCTTTAGAAAAATGCTATAAGGTACATCGATTTTTATAAGAAATACACACAGTTCTTGGTTCATTTATCCAGTGACTGTAACAGTACATTAAAATTACCTTCAATCAACACAGATCATAACAGTGTTGACTTTCAATTACAAAACAATAAAAACACCTTTTTTCAAGCCTTTCACTGTCAGGAAGTTATTTAAAATATTTTTCCAAAATTTCCCACACCTCAAACTTTTATCTATCCATGTGCAGAATGAATTCAGGGCTAATTTATGTTCAATGAAGTTTGTGAGCTCAAAGCCAGAGCTGAAAATCCAGCTACAGCTCACAGTGCCAGTCTCTCACTGAAAACAGTATGTCTGCTTTTAGCTCCAGAAACTAAGGAGCTTTGAGGATGCAAGTTGTACGAAAAGCCAGATCAGATGTTGCAGCATCATGCTGCAAACACATGCAACTGGCTTGACATAGCCTTAGCTCAAGTTCAGGAAGCTCCATTAGCTCTCATCTGTGTTAGCCACAGCAACCCAAGCTGGTTTCCACAGCCCCTCAAGGCTTCAGAAGAGCTGCATCACTTGTGTCTTGCACCAGAATGAATCTTAATTACTGTACTAAAAAAGGATTTTGCTTCAGGAGATTCTCTTTTAGTGCAGGTTCAATCTAAATCCTTTCATCTGTTGCTCCAATCATGTTAATAAAGCCTTTCAGATCCTGGAGGGGTGGGAAGGGAGTGCAGCACAGAGGTAGCCAAA